CACTGAATATATTTTTTACTAGCCACTCACCCTCTCTTCGCTCACATTCGTGCCTAGGTAATTCTTTAAATTGACATATAACTTTTTTATGTATACTTTATGTAACCAATTGAAAAAAAAAACAAATCGGATAAGGCTTTTATGAAATTAGCACGCACAAACGCACAGACAAACAGACAAAAATTGTAAAGATCATTGTTTTGGGTTCTATTGCGTTAATAAAGGCCCCTTATAGTAGTTTTTCTTAAATATCTTCCATGTACTCACAGCCATCAGTTATAATTTTATCATTTGTAAAGATATAGATTTCTATATACAAGTATTCGTCCAGTGGTCGAAATTCGATTATAATCATTATTAAAAATTTGAGGAAAACATATGAATAAAATATACTTATCTATATTGTTTAAAACATTTTCTGAAAAGAATTACAAAATTCACTTACAGAGAAAATACACAAATAATAATAATAATAAATAGATATGTTGGGACAGTTTCTAGCGACTCTGCTTGCTGTGCCAACGGTCGCTGGTTCGAGTCCCACTGAGAGGGGATTCATTTGTGTGATGAGCATGAATGTTTATACTCCAGGCATGGGTGTTTTATTTTAGTCAAAGATTTATATTTATAATATGTATGTATTCAAAGTTATATATGTGTAGTGTATCAACTATCTGGTATCCATAACACAAGCCTCGTAGCTTACCATGGAACTAGATGGTGCTGTGTGTTAATGTCCCAACATATTTATATTTATTAGCAAACTATACATAGTTTAGTTGGACTCTGAATGAGTTTTAAATGCTGAATCAATTAGGAATACATTCGATGACATGTTCAAGAGTGGCCCCAGTCAAATACCACACTGTCGTATAGAACATTTGTTGCAATTAAATAAATCGTTCTCGCCAAGTAGATCCGCACAATCGAATTAAGTCGTGTGAGAATCAATGGGAAGATGTATTAAATGGCTTGGTATTACCATTGGTTTTAAAAACTATTTTAGTTTAAGTAATATTTTTTTTATATCGGGAACATTGTTTTGTTTTGGTGTTTTACATGTTACGTAATAATAATGTCCTACCGACCGATTTCAGCCACGGCGACCGATCTCATTGAGACTAGCCAACTGCGCAGGAGATATTATAGTGCACAAGTGTACGCGCAGACACAAGTGCACTCTCTGTTCCTGTCACTTTCATATTCCGGTGGGACGATTGCTCGACACGACCAGTGAGAGTTAAGGCGCAGGACCGACGGCTTTACGAGCTCTCCGAGGCACGGAGGTGAAACACCGCCAACTTCCCAACTCCGGGCTGTTACTGAGGCTAACTATACAGAAAGAATCAATAACTAAACTTGGCCCGACCCGGGACTCGAACCCAGGACCTCCAGGTGTGCAGCCGTACTTGCTAGCCACTACACCACCGAGGTAGTTAAAGAGGTATTTTACGTACTATTACGTAGACGAATTTTGACGATACTTTTTTTAATAAATAAGTTATCACGCAACATTATTAATTTTGAGAGCACCTTTGAGGGAAGAATAATTAAAGAAATTCAATTACATAATTTTAAAGCTACTTAGTAGTTTTAGTTAGAAAGTAATAAATAAAAATTTATACAAAAATCTTTTCAATAGTAGGGGTTTCCAAGCGAGACATTCCTTGAAGCGTGAATTCCATTCCAAGGCACGATAAAACGGTTGATCGTTTTGTGACATCACCTTTGTGACGTTGAAGTCAACAGAGCTTTGTACTACGAGTATATGTATATTAAAACTTGTTACGTACTAATATTTAGTTTAATATTTTATAATATTAAAGAAAATTGATCACTATTAGGACTACTAAACTACTTTTTTTTTAAATAAAATAATAGTGTTTGGAAGTGATGTTATTAATATTGTAATAACCAATTTACTCTGTAAACTGATAATAATGTGAACTATCAGTTTAAAGTTTCCTTACACATTTTTTGTTTAGAACAACTAATGTTGTTCATACTGTACTTACTATAGTTACAAAACTATTGTCAGAAGACAAATTTAAAAAATAAACAACTATTGTATACTTAATATTTCGGATGACATTGCGAAGTTTTGTCTAAAATCTGGTTTTCGCTACTTTATTTAAAACCCCAAATAGTTTTCAAACATGAGGGTTAAATCGAGGTATTGGGATGCTCGACCCCTATCACCTTTTATCCACCCGTCATTTTACACACAGTGTAATGCTTACATATACAAACAAAATCTGCACTTATTATATCTAGCCATTTTTTTTTTTTTTTATCGTCGGGAAATGCATTTACGCATACCACCTGATCCCCCAGGTGGTGATGTGGGGCTCACCGGCTAGAAGAGCCGGTACTACCCACTAAAACCCGACATCCCTTCCCCCCGCCTTAGTGGGACGCCGCAGGATCGCTTGCGCATAACTACTACGGCGCCCCGGCGGCAGGTCTGCCTAAACGCAGACCACCAAACCAATGGGGCTGCTCCACAGTCAACTCTGCTACGCCAGAGAGGTACCCGGAGCAGCCCCATTAAACCACCAAACCAATGGGGCTGCTCCACAGTCAACTCTGCTACGCCAGAGAGGTACCCGGAGCAGCCCCATTAAACCAAACGCCGCCCACCGAAGTGGGCCACCTCCAATCGGCTGCACAGGACAGGGAGAGCGGCAACGAAACACCGACACTCCTCTACCCCTGCAGCCCCACCGCGTCCGCCATCAAACGGTGGCGGCCCCGCTAGGCCGCGGAAGGTAGGGAGAACGGCGCACCGAAATACCGGCACTCCTCTCCCGCCGCGGCCTACCCCTCCGCCGGATGCGGGCCTGCGATCACAGTCCCGCAACCGGCACCCATCATCCGGTTGTGGGACCAAGCGGTCCCACCACCGGTGGCCGCAACGTCTTCGGCTCGAGGCCTAGACGAGCGGCCCCACCCAAGCCATTTGGTCCGCGCCGGATTTCTCCGGTACCACCCGCCGCCCTAAGCGGGTGGCATTCCCCTATCCGCCACCTGGGGACGCGCCCGGTAGGAGTTGGCTTCTCCCCCGGGATATCTAGCCATCCTCCAACTCAAAGGTTATTAATATTTATATACTAGCATTGCCCGCAGCTCCCGATGCCGATGGAAAACAAATCCAATATATTTCGATACGTAAAATACATAATATTTACCTATTAGATATTCATATCGTAAAATATTGTCGACAGGCACCGACTTCGAAAATATCTGATTAGGTATCTATTCTAAATGAAAACCTCCGTTTAGTTATTTTTTACATTTTAGTGCCTGGAGGTCGGTTTTAATTTTTTTTAAGTTTTTATTTTTAGTGTAGATGTAATAAGCAAGTAATTTGTAAGAAAAAGTTTTTTAATAACATATTTGATAAAACAATTTATTTAAAAAAAAAAAAATATTTACTGTCGATTTTTTTGAAAACATTGATAAAATTTTTATGGGACCATCCTTTGAAACAAAAAAAATCTCCAAATCGGTTTAGGCGTCTTCGCGTAATCGGTGAACATACCTAAAAAAAAGATTCTGATGAATTGAGAAACTCCTCCTTTTTGGAAGTCAGTTAAAAAGACATAGCACCTCGTCTTATTGCCTCTACTGGTGAAAGAACTGGCGCATTTTTTGCCCAAAGAATAGTCATTGCCATTCAACGGGGGAATGCGTCTAGTATTCTTGCCACTATTCCACGCGGACATGACTTGTACAGTAATAACATAGTGTACATCTGCTTTGTTTATTTGCATATAACTAAGTATATTTGTAATTTTCTTTATTGTAAATAAAATAAAATTATAAGTATAGAGATCAAAAAATATTTATTTAATATGTATTTTTCTAAGATATTAAAAAAATAATTTCCGGAACCCAATACGCTCAAACTTGACACCATATTTTCCATTTCTCTGTGATGTTTCAAAACTACAGCTTCATGCCGTTTACTTGGAGTCTGAATTAAAAACGTCCATAAACGTCTACAGAATTTATATAAAACGTTACCATTTTTATTTGCTCTTGTTGTAGCTTTTAAAAATATTTGGGAATGCTTTATTATACCTTGATTCTTTACAGATTGAGATAAATTACTATCTCAGATGCTTCATAATATTTTGAATTTAACTTCCAGAAACAGCTTGTAAGCCAGACTTCTGACAAGTTAATTTCTACAATCAATATGGCTAAAACAAAACAAAAATAAGATGGGAATGGTATATTCTGACCATGTGATATAACGCTGTGCTATGTCACACACAAATTCTTTATTATCTATTAGCGATGACTACAGTAGAATGATACTTTGTATGAGCCCCTTAACCATCCATGTAAGCGATGACTTTTGTAGCGAAGCATGTGGTTGGCAGTATTAATGTCAACTTTATAGATAACAGGTATACTAGCGATTCGAATATTTTAAGTCAATGGACTTTCTGATATGATAATGTATATTCAATTTTTTGTTACTAAAACTTATTTAAAAAAAAACATTATCAACTAAATATACTAATTACACAATAATTATAAATAAAAAAATTAAAAAACCTCCTACGCAAATTAATTGTCATTTAACGATTACACTGGCACGCGTGAAGCACTTAATCGATTAATCATACGCCAAAATGCCTTACATCATTTTGGAAACAGGCTGACACTCTTACACTGCTGGACCGATATTAACCAAACATAGCTAAGAACCATCGCAAGGAAACTGGCTTTTAAATGAAAAAAACGGCATTGAAATCGGTCCACAGGTTTGAGAGCTACGATGCCACAGACAGACATCAACGTCAAACTTAAAACACCCCTCTTTTTGCGTCGGGGGTAAAAAAATAGAAAAATATTTAAATACTGATTGAATCACAACATCAAAAGGCTAAGACTAAATGTTACAATAAAACAAAAAAATTAAAACATTTTGTTTTTGATTTTATATAAAAACAGATAGCGTACAATAATAGAAGGTACAGAATTGCTTATTCCTCATTTTTCGGACATTCTTCTAAAGGCACACATTTCTTGCTGACGGTGTCCCTCACAGTTGGAGCATCGCAGTAACAAGCTGAGTAGTCGCAAATCTTACCCCTAGTATCTTCTTGGGGTTCAGGGTTCTCACAGGTAGGCTCAGGAGTCAGGTACCCGCAACCAGTAGAGTAACCGTGGGTACCTTCTTCGCAACCTTTGTAACCTGAAAGATGAAAAATATCTTTATCTAGGCCTTATCTTATCTCTCTTGGGATATACATGTCTGAGAATAATTAATAATAAAAATTACTTATGTTGCTGAAATTTGATATTTTATGTATGATTTTGAGGGTCCTTGAAAATAGCGTTTGACATATTTGATAGGGAATAATTTATAACTGGTGTTAAAAATACGAGTGAACTCACTTTGAACACTTGACTGTGCCGCACAAGCATACTGACCATGGCGGACGAGATTCGCGATAACTTTATATTAAATTCATCGATATCCGCAACATATATATATCATGTTAATACAGATATTTATGTGGCGACTTACGTCTAAAAAGACAGTAATACCTACTAAATACGGAATCTTTTAACTCCCTGAAAGTGGGATCGCAAGATCACTTTTACATTTATCCTGAGTTTATTTCGACATTTCTTCTCATGACTTTTAGTAAAAATATAACATTGTTGCAATAAACAATACATTATACATACACATTTACATACGTAAATTTACACGCATACATAAAAATAATCAACCAAATAATATATAGAATTAGATACTAGAACATAGTAGAGGAACATGATGTTCTCCTAGCCGATTCCGGCCACGGCGGCCAATCTCAATGAGATTAGCCAACTGCGCAGGAGATATTATAGTGCTTAAGTGTACGCGCAGACACAAGTGCACTCTCTATTCCTATCACTCTCATACTCCGGTGGGACGACCACTCGACACGACCGGTGAGAGTTAAGGCGCAGGACCGACGGCTTTACGTGCTCTCCGAGGCATGGGATCCGAGGAAAATATATATATATATATATATATATATATATATATATATATATATATATATATATATATATATATATATATAGTCAAAAACTCTATCAGTTGTTCGGGAATAAAATGCCTTAGTCTTAAGAAGAACTGCAGAAAGAAACTCAGCAGGAATATAGTATGTTTTTTTTATCATTAAAAAAAATCACAAAACATAAATAAGAAACTCCAGTGTAAAAATATTAAAGATTCAAATCATTTTTTTAAATACTCACAGTGTCCCAAAATGTAAATACATCCTCTAGGGTAAGGGTTAGTTCCAGCGATACTCAATCCCACGAGGGCTAAGACACATAGAATAACTAAGGATTTCATTTTTTACCAATTTATAATTGACTGTTCAGTATCAAAACTACTTGTTGTTTATCTCGCTCCAGACAAGAACCGGCCTTAAATAGCTTGACCGTTGCATCATTTATTTATTTTTATCTTTATATATAAGAACAAGTAAATCTCGTCTGTTTGTACACAGTTGGTATTAAATTGCTTGAAAATTTAAATATAATACAATTTATATATCATAAAAAAATTAAACATGTATGAAAATTCTACATTGATCTCATTTTAGAGTAAAATCATATTGTTTTTTTAAACTATACGAGCACATGTCTTTTTTTGAGTTTTAGTTTTAATTTTCAAGTTTTGAAAAGTATCTTGAAAATAAAAAAAAATTAGGAGTTTTGTGAAATTATAGAACTCAGTCTAGATGAGCCGTCATGCCTACGGATTAGAGCTTTATAAACAGTGGAACTGCAAGTTGATGATGCGATTTTAGCTCTTCTTCGTGTGGGGTGCTGGCATTTTGGGGTAAGATGCCAGCTTTCCGAATGCCTCTCGGCACCTAGCAGTAGCAGATACATCCGACCGTCTGTCTCATGATCGCAACATTACATGCTGGATACTATCATGGATTTTGATCATCGAGGTCTTTGTCTGAATGGAAATTTTTCACTCGTGTCGATGTTGATCTCTAAGTTTCCTTGACTGTGAGGATGCGTGAATTTTCTCCCACCCCGTAACCTAAAACATTGTTTCAAATAATTAAGAAAAATACCCTTTTCACCAGTTTTAATCAATGGGAATCATCAAAATAAATAGGTGTACCCAAATTAAAGTTTACAACCTCCTAATAAATATTTTATTCCAATCCGGATTTGGCAAACCCACGAAGTTTCTAATCAATACGTTACTGTGCGTGTTTATGCTAATGCGTGTTAATGCGTCTGTGCGTGTGTGTCTGTTTGTTTGTGTGTATTAGATATACATACATATATTATAAGCCATCTATGACAATGAAATGGAAAAAATACCAATACTGAGTAGAGTTTTTGCCGCAATATGACAAAGCAATTAATGTGTCTATTGACCATATAATAATAAATAGATATTAATGCTGAGCAAGTTCGTCGTTCAATAACACTTACTTTAATCCTAATCAACGTTAAATTATAATATTAATATTTTATGTTATACAAAAAACATATGAAATACATCTTAGCTTAAGATCTCTCTTAAGGTCTCAAAAGGACGATCTTATTGATAGATCTATTGACTATAGACTAAAAACTCGCCCACTTCATACCGTACAAACATAGTTCAATAATTAAGGAATAAATTTTAAAATTATAAAATGTAAAAGAAAAAAAAGGACACTACTTAATAATAGTTTTTATCAAATATCTTCCATGTACAGACAACGATCAGTTACACTTTTATAATATATATGACGATATAATGCATTTGTTATAGCTTTTAAAAATTTAGGAAGGGTTCATTTTACCTCGATTCTTCACAGATTGAGATGAATTACTTTCTCAGATGTTTCATAAAATTTGAATTTAACTACCAGAATCAAAATTCGCTTGTAAGCCAGACTTCTGAAAAATTAATTTCTACAATCAATATGGCTAAAACAAAACAAAAATAACATGGTAGAGATATATTCTGACCACGTGATATAACGCTGTGTTATGTCACACAAAAATTCTTTATTCTCTGTTAGCGATGGCGACAGTAGAATAGACAGTAGATAAACGTAACTATCCATGTAAGCGATAACTTTTGTATCGAAGCATGTGGTTGATGGCGAGATTAATGTCAACTTTATACTAGCGATCCGAATATTAGTATATTTAAAGGGAACTATTCATGTGTTACAATGCAATCACTCCTTATATATCAAAATAAGTTTCATAGGATTATAATAAGACAAAAAAATTAAATCATTTCATTTTTATTTTATATGAAAACAGATAACGTACAATAATAGAAATTACAAAATTGCTTATTCCTGCTTTTTCGGGCAGTCTTCCAAAGGCACGCATTTTTTGCTGACGGTGTCCCTCACAGTTGGAGCATTGCAGTAACATGCTGTGTAGTCACAAATCTTACCCCTAGTATCTTCTTGGGGTTCAGGGTTCTCACAGGTAGGTTCAGGAGTCAGGTAACCGCAACCTGTTGTGTACGCGTGGGTACCATCTTCACAACCTTTGTGACCTGAAAGATAAAAGAAGTCTTTATCTGAGCATTATCTTATATCTGATACTAATATATAATAATACTGTCCACTAAACCCAACGAAATCTTTAGCTCCCTAAAATGGATCGCAGGAACACTTTCACATTTACCCATGAGTTTATTTTGACATAACTTCTCATGGTATTCAGTAAAAATGTAAAAAAATTGAAAGAAAGAAAATAAACCTCAAAACAAAATAATAATACACCTTGTATTTCAATCTTAAACAATATCTAAGTACAAAATCATAGAAAATATAAAAATGGATCCACTTATTACTCCAATCCCCCACCCAAGTATAGCAGTAAGACATGTATACGATCTAGGGGGTGGTGTGTACCTCTACGTAAGCTGGTTGAGTAAAATATAGTAATATTTATTTAAAGAAACGCCTGATAAAATGAAATAGCAACCACTGTGTCTTTGCTCTACTACCGTTTTAGCGAGCTGTTTCTTTTTACAGACTTCCTATAAAGTCTTGTAATTATGATATTAGTTTTATTACTGGTTAAAAAAATTATGCCAAAAAGTTACATTTCATGCAAATTGTTTCAGAGAAAGATATTCAATAAACAAGCTTATAGAGAGACAATACATACAGATAAAAATGACCATATCAAAAAATCCTTCTTATAATAATAAGAGCAATCATTAACAATGAAACTTAGTTTGAATTGAAATTTATTATTCAAATTAGGTCTCGTACATTCTACTATATGAAGTTTCATATTCTAGGAAAATTGTGAGAATTTGGTTAATTAATAATTCTATACTAAGGCAATTTACAAACTAGCTTTTTTACAGTCTACGACTTGCCTTGCCTACGATGAGATAGAGAACTACCTCTCAAGTGAAACAGCAATATAATAGCAAATATATAACGAACTTTATTTTTAATTTAAACCATGGAAAACCATTATCGATCTCTAGTGCCAATCCTTCCAACTGGATTAAACACCCAGCTGTTAATTATGTGTGTGCTTTCAAGCAATATTGTTGTTTTTTGTAAGGAAATTAGTAATGTTTTTAGGAAGCGACTTGCAGTCGCTTCGCTTGAATTCGCCCCTAGGTGTCTAACAATAGCCACAAAACAAATTTCGTCTGTGTCCGATATTCTTTTTCATTTTTTTTTTCTTTTTGGAAAAATTGGCAACTGGTTATTTATATGTAGATGGTTAAATTCTATTCAAATATTGTTATTTTCAAATTTTCAATAATGGTTATAGCTGAATTTCGACCACTAGACGAACACTAGTATAAATAATTAATTAATGATCATCACTTAAGTGTAAGGACCCTTATCTTACTCATTACACGTGTTAAATTTGCTCAGTAAATATACTTTGTTTGAAGAAACCAATCTAACGTAGCTGTATTGACAATATTCTATTAGCGTTCCGTATTTGAACTGTATATTGTGCTGGAGGAAAAATCTTGTGTTATTATAGACTGGGCGTCCTCAGTTTAAACTAGCCTTGAAGTCAGAGTTTAAAAGGGATTGTTAAAAATCCTACACAAATCTATATCTAAATTATCTATACTAATATTATAAAGAGTTTTTTTTTCTTTCTTTGTTTGTTTATACTGAATGGCTCCGAAACTACTGAATCGATTTAAAGGAAATTTGGTAAGAAGATAGTTTGAGTCCCTGGAAAGGACATAGGATCATAGGATTTATCCCGGAAATCAACCCCTGAGGGGGTGAAAATGGGGATGAAAGTTTTTATGCGGAAGCAAGCGAGGGTAAGTCTCTAGTAATATTATAAAGAAAAAAATTTTGCTTCTTTGTGATTATGATGTTCTCCTAGCCGATTCCGGCTACGGCGGCCAATCTCATTGAGATTAGCCAACTGCGCAGGAGATATTATAGTGCTCAAGTGTATACGCAGACACAAGTGCACTCTCTATTCCTATCACTCTCATACTCTGGTGGGATGACCGCTCGACACGACCGGTGAGAGTTAAGGCGCAGGACCGACGGCTTTACGTGCTCTCCGAGGCACGGGGGTGAAACACGGCCAACTTCCCAACTTCGGGCTGTTACTGAGACTTACTATACAGAAAAAATCAGTAACTAAACTTGGCCCGACCCGGGACTCGAACCCAGGACCTTCGGATGTGCAGCCGTACATGCTAGCCACTACACCACCGAGGCAGTTGAGGCTTCTTTGTAAATATAAATATATTTACATATAGATAAACTAAAAAACTACTAGAGCAAATTTAAAAAATCTTCCACCTATGAAAAGCTACATTATCAGCGAGTAACATGGACTATATTTTATTTAAAAAAAATACAGATCCTCACAAAAATATCAACAATGTAACCTAAGGTATTAAAATTTGCCTATATCTATAAATATTTTTGGAAAAAATATTATAAACTGAACGTAACTCTACTTTTTCACTTCATTTGTCAATGATATAGATTGTATCCTGGGATCAGACAAAGGCTATACTTGAACCACATCCTTATCAGGCCAGTGAAGCCGAGGGCAAAAACTAGAATATAATAAAAAAACTAAAGGAACCTATAAACCCTCAAAGCATACGAAAGCGCGGGATTTGCTAGCATTATATATAAATTACATCTATTTTTAGTAAACTCGTTTGTAAATGAATATTTTTCTCATAATTAAACTGGTTTACAAACCTACAAGCTAGGTATCTAACATAATAAAATTAATATATTTTTATTAATCTTTTAAGTAGTTATTTAGGTTCCAATTCACCTTGAACATAATAAAGTAATCGATACAATTAAAAATGAATCGGTAAATGTGTTGCTTAGCGCAAAACTCGAGAACAACTAGACTAAAATAAAATATTAATCTGATATTGATTATAAATAAATATAAACATAACAGACAGGTAGATGTAGTAAGTTCTTACTGTGTAGATCAAAATGACAGCTTATCAGATTAATATTTTTCATTTTTCATTTGTAAAAGTATATAGTATTAGTGTTGCTTAGTAAGTTGTTTTTAAATAATAGCAAACTAAATTGAAATTATTATCCTTAATTAATTTTAACTTTTTTAAATTACACATAGAACAATTATATGGAATTAATAATTAATACTATATTTTATATTTTTCTTTATGGTTATAAATATAATAATAGCAACACTAAATATAGATTACTAATTAATATTTTTAAAATTCTAATAATTATAAAAATAATAGCAAAAATTCAATAAATAATATTCCATATTCAATTATAATTAAAATTATAAAAATGTCTAAAGTTAAAAAAATATTGTAATGTAATTGGTGCAATTTTCATTTTGTTAATTGTGGGTAGGTTGTCTGTAACAACTATACCTTCAAGACATGTAACACCTCAGTCTCTCCCGTGACCAGGGATGCTGTAAAGCATTCGAAACGTCGGGAACCAAAAATCAAAATAAATCCGCGAAATAATCCGAAAAGATAGTTTTATTTAAAAATATTTGCGTTCAATTATCATTCAGACCTAAAAAGTGCATGAGTTAATAAAGTAGTATTATTGAATAATCGGTTGATTAGAACTAACGTATGTAGTCGACAAAATATTTTACACCGTACGAGAATCAAACCCGCAATACTATTTCAACAATTCAACAATTGGCTAAAATATATCTGTTATTTATTACATATAGCTTAAAACTTATGTTTCATTTTATTCAGTACAATTTATTTATAAAAATTAGGAAGAGTACTCGAGTTGTTCTAACGCATTTATTGAAGTATGGACGTGCTTAAATATAATAACTTAAAAGCATCTCTAAATCCTTAAATACTTTTGTTTCTAATTGCATTATTTTCGTAATACAGGATTTTGCCCCAGTTCTGCTCACGTAATTTATTTATATATAACAAGAGACTTACGCTGGATTCACCCGGGTGCTTCCCTACGTACATCTATACAGATAAATAAAATTGAAGTGTCTGTTTGTAATATCAAAATAACAGCTTTTTACTAAATGCATATGTATACGCGGTACATATACCAAAACAACATTTTTTACAATTTTTGTCTGTCTGTTTGTTCCGGCTAATATCTGAAATGGCTGGACCGATTTTGACGGGACTTTCATTGGCAGATAGCTGATGTAATAAGGAGTAACTTAGGCTACTTTTATTTTAGAAAAAAATAGGGTCCAACGAAAAAAAAATCAAACCAATGAAAAAATTAATAATATCTGATTCAAATGGGGAAGTTGTATACATACCCTAGGGACGAACCCAAGCGAAGCGAGGGTGAGTCGCTAGTTTTAGTAAATAAAAGAAAAGTATAAAGAAAAAAGTTATCGTGAGTGTACTTTGGGTAGTTGGTTCCTCATGCAAATTTTTAACATTTCACCACCTTTAAGTTATATTTTCGCGACAAAAATCCTATGTCCTTTTCCAAGATCCCGTTTATTTCTATATCGAAATTTATCAAAATCGATTCAGCGCTTTGGCCGTGAAAACATAACAGACAGACATACAGAGTTACATTCGCATTTATTATATTAATATAGGAAAGTATGGATGGAGTGGAAGAACGTTTTGTATCGCGTAAAGAAGAAGAAAAAGCTACACTGTTAAGAATCGTAGCGCATTGTTAAATAGCTAAAACTTCTTCAATAAACAGTCTAGAGAGGACTAAATGAAATTTTCAATATATATATGTACATATGTATTTTATAACTAGCGGGTAACCCTCGCCCCGCTCGGGTTCGTCCCCACTTACGTTTAGTGTAGATTTCTCAGAGATGAGATATTTTCCCGCAGTAAAAAGTAACCTATATGTTGACTCGGATAACCAGCTATCATCATACCAAATTACATCAAAAATCCCTCCAGTGGCTTTTCTCTGATGCAGTCATAGATAGACAAACAGACAGACAAAAATTCTAAAAACTATAGATTCGGCCTCTGTATCGATAATAATTATGTCTATTTCAATAAGATTTTCCAAAAAATATTTAATGTACAGATTCGGCTTAGTTACAATTTTATTATATGTATAGATAACAAGGTCAAATGTACAAGTTATAATCAAATAAATAAGATAACTTCCCTTAAGTTTGCATGGCAATATAAACAAATGCTCAGATATAAAAATCGTAGGTCAAATATGTCGAACCAAACAAATTTTTTTACGCGTTTTTGACAAATTAGTCAACGGAAGAATTTTAAAAAATCTTACTTTAGTTAATTTAATATTTTGTTATTTTTAAAATATACACTTATTGTCCAAAACTCTAATCAATTGCTTGGGAATAAAATACCTTAGTCCTAAGAAGAACTACCGAAAGAAACTCAGCAGAAAACATATTTTTTTATATCACAATATAAAAAAATAATAAAAAAAAACACTCTAGTGCAAAAATGTCAATGAGTGAAGTAAAAAAAATTACTTACATCTTCCCTCAACGTAAATGCATCCATTAGGGTAAGGGTTGGTTCGAGCGATACTCAAACCCACGAGGGCTAAAACACAAAGAATTACTAAAGATTTCATTTTTTATCGATTTATTATTGACTATACAGTATCAAAACTACTTGTTGTGTATCTCGCTCCAGAGAAGAACCGGCCTTAAATACCTTGACCGTTGCATCATTTATTTATTTTTTTCCTTTATAGTACATATATAAAATATAAGGAAATTTCGTCTGTTTGTACACAGTTGTTTAAATATTTATTATACACATAAATATTTTTTTTATTTAAGTGTCTGTTTGTAATGTCAAAGTAACAACTTTTTACTAAATGCATACGAAATTATATATAATTATATACGTATAAGAAAAACACAATTTTTAAAATTTGTCTGTCTGTCTGTCCGCTAAATGCATATGAAATTATATACGGTACTTATAATAAAAACACAATTTTTAAATTATTGTCTGTCTATCTGTTTCTTCTGGCTAATCTCCGAAACGACTAGACTGATTTTGATGAAACTTTTACTGGCAGATAGCTGATATTATAAGGAGTAACTTAAGCTACTTTTATTTTACAAAAGCTATTAGGGTCCCGCTCAAATACATATCTCAATGATAATAAAATTGCATGATTAAAAAAACATAGATTTTTTTAAGCGAGGATACGAACACCTCAGACTTTCCATGTCTTAATTTTCAGTGTTATTTTTAGTGATTATTTTCGTTTTAAATTTTTTTTTATATGTTATAATCTGGCGTTTATATTTGAAAATTGAGAACTATTATGATATAACACAATTCAGACTAGATGAGCACTAATGTGTACTATTTGAAGTTTTACGAGCAGTAGATCTGCAAGTTCTTGATCCGCTCTCAGGTCTTCGTTGTGTGAGTGGTGGCATATTTGATGTAGGGTGCCAGCTTCCCGATTGCCTCTCATCCTTTGAGTAGCCGATACATCCGACCGTATGTCTCGTGATCACGACATTGCATACTGGAATGCTGGATGCTATCTTGGAACATGATCTTATGGGTTTTAATGTGACTAATCACCACTGACTAGTGTGTTGATCCCTGAATTTCCTCAACTGTGAGAATGCGTGAATTTTCTCCCATTTTGTAATGCAAACGATGCTTTTAAATATTTTAAAATTAAAAATACCCTTGCCACTAATTTTAATCGATGGGAATGGTCGAAACAAACAGATACGTCTAAATTACAGTTATACTAGTTACCCTTTTAGAGTTCCATTACCTACCTTCTATCAAATTCTTGTATTTTAAGCAGGGTTTTTTAAACTTAGAAAGTTTCCAATAAAAACGATAACGATATCCATATGTAGCTTAAAATTGATTTTCAAGATTTCAATACATAGTTTGTTTCAAAGGAAGGAAGAATATCTTGTGAATAATAATAAAATTAGAACAGGATGAAGTTGTACATTGATTTCTGCTTGAAAAAAATGAGTTTAGTCAGACATTGTCGTAACAAAAATTGTTCGTAGCTATTTTATATTAGTTTTGCTTAAACATTGTGGAGCTAATAAAAGAAACATAGAGTATTCTTTACCACTTATCACATGAAGAAGCTTAGTGAATGCTGCCAAATTTTGCCATGCCAAATTTTTGTCATTATAATATAACAAGTGCTACTAAATTTTTATCATTATAAGGTCTTCTTCAAAGCTAAGCATCTGTGTATGTTATTTAGTCCTTTTGTTTTGCAGCAACTTGCTGAGAGAGATTTAGAAAATGACAGGCTGTTTTTTTACCAGTACCATTAAGTATTAAGAATACTGAATGTCAATAGTGAGAGCTTAAACAAAACAATAGTGTGATTAGTTAAAATTATATCACTAAATTTATTTGTCTGTCTGTATGTTGTAAATGTTTCACATATAATAATAATCTGAATTTTATAAAACAAAGGTACTGGCAAAAAAATAAACAAATTAGTAGCCAAAGTCGTAAACAAGCGCTAGAGGCATAGTAAATGATAAAAGATAATAAAAATAAATTATTATAAGCATTAGTATTCAATTAAAAAATATTTAGTTTCGATCGTCTAATTACCATTTCTAAGTGGATGATGAATAGAGTACGAGTACAATATTAGGCAGACATGAAAATTGGTGGCATTATTCTCTACTTTCTCAAGCTCTTTTCGGGATATTTATTTTTAAACTTACTAATACTCTCGCACTATCATGTGTATACGGATTTTGATGCGATTAATCTAATAACACCTCCAGGTAAATTTCTAAGAAATGTATTGTTAACTGTAACGCCGGCGTATTCGCGGTCGTGGAGGGATTAATGTTCGACGACGAACGTATAACAATATTTATTCAAATCATTTACTAAGAAATCAGGAAAAAACTTACGAAGATTTGTAGTTATTTACAAATAAACTATTTTTTTCTTTGTGTCGCATTCGAAAAGTGTTTCAAGACGTTCACGTTGTTGACAGGCTAGCAACGATTAGTATAAAGTGTGCTTCATTAAACTAAGAAAAGGATAGAATATATATTTTTATTAACTCATCAAATATTTAATAAATAATTTTGAGGTGAATTGATAAGCATAGTAACATATACTGATATGTATGTGATAAGGCAGTTACTCGTAGATCGCTCTCCATCGTGTCTTTTTATTATACGTGATAATAATTCTAATGATTACGTCTTACAATCATTTTAAAACTTCTTCAACGTACGCGTTGGTTTAAAGATGTATCTTTTTAAATTTACATGAAGCCAAGTTAGGCCGCTAGTTAACCAAATTTTATTTGAATAACACCAAGCAGATTAAACAAAAATACGTTATTAAACCAACAGAATGAAAAACTAAAAACATTTGACACCTTAAAATTACAACTACGTATTAAAAAGTTCGCTTTGGGTTCGTCCCTAGACCAAAACAAATCTATCCCAAGGGAGCCGTACATTTTTCCGGGATACAAATTGATCTTTGTGTTATTCCAGACTATAATCTATCTCTGTGCCAAATTTCATTAGGATTCGTTCAGCCGTTCTGGTGTGAAACAGTAAACGTCCATCCATATTCATAAACTTTCACATTTATAATATTAGTCAGGATAGTTCGTTAGTTTTGTTGGGATAAAGGATCAAAACTGGTCGAAGTAGCAAGGACCAATCACGACATCCACACCCATCTCTTTGAACCTCAATAAATCAATAGACGTTGGGTTTGTTGTTTTTATTTTATATGAAAACAGATAACGTACAATAATAGAAATTACACAATTGCTTATTCCTGACTTTTCGGGCAGTCTTCCAAAGGCACGCATTTGTTGCTGACGGTGTCCCTCACAGTTGGAGCATTACAGTAACATGCTGTGAAGTCACAAATCATCTCATCAGAATCTTCTTTGGGTTCAGGGTTCTCACAGGTAGGCTCAGGGGTCAGCACCTCGCAACCAGTAGCGTACGCGTGAGTACCCTCCTCACAACCGCCGACACCTGAAAGATAAAATAAACCATTATCTGAGTATTATCTGGTCGATCGATGGCTATGTGGTGACTCGCCCGGTAAAAAACCAATACTACCTACTTAAACCCAACGGAACCTTTAACTCCTGTCCTAAAGTGTCCTACTTTAGGACATGACGGACGTAAAGCGACTTTTGCTACTTATTTGTTATTTACTTTCATATTTAACCACGATAATTCGTTGATCGAGGAGACTCGAGAGATTAGTTCCCATTCCCAGAAATTTATATTGAGATTTAAAGAAATATATACCTAAGAAAAATAATACGAAGCACTAACCTACGAAACATTTTAAAAACATATAGATTTTACACTTTTCGGAAACCTTATAAAACTAAAATTATTTTTTGCAAGTTTGTTTGTAATGGATAAACTAAAAAAACTACACTACACGGCTCGTTCAACACAGACGAATCCGCGAGATCTGCTAGTATTAAATATAAACTACATCCATTACTTATTAAGTAAACTCGTTTTGTTAAGTAAACTCGTTTTGCAAATGAATCCTTGTTTCTGATAATTAAACTGGTTTACAAACTTATAAGTTATCTAACATATTAATTATTGCAATAATTAATATATTTTTTGTTTATCTTTTAAGAGATTATTTAAATTCAAATTCACCTTGAACATAAGGAAGTAATATTTTTTTAATAATTTTCAATCATAGACTTAATGTTACTAGAATTTAAAATTAACAAATATTTGAAGACTGAAGCTACAAATGTGCATGATATTATATGAAAAGAATCACTATTATTGAAATATTTTGAAATCAAAAACAGATATTATTCAATAATATCAAAAACAAATTTATTATCTTATTATTTGGGAAATATTCTTTTTGCTTTGCATACACAATCCCATGCAAAAGTTCTCTTAAAAATGTCACCAATTGTGTTTAGGTAATTATTCTAGTTGAAATAAATATATTACAATGTAAAATAAACCATAATGCAATGCTTAAAGTTGTTTTCTTAAAAAAAATCTTTAGTAGCGAGCTCAAATGTTCAAATGAGCACTCATTCGGTGAGGACATTTTTTGTCGCTGATTGTGTATGTAGTACTTTTTTGATCGAAGTTTACACTCGCTTGACATTTTAGGTGTAACTGATAATAAGCATGGTTTTAAACTTCGCAGCGTTTGAGTTACTTTAATAAGTAACTAAATAATATAATAATAAATAAGTAAAACTCAATGCTATTTTTTTAACTTAATGATTTTTTATAGTAAAGATCTTTTTGGCACATTAGTTAACGGATGAATTGTAAAAATATTTTATAATATTTAAAAATAATATTTACAAAAATCATTTAATACTTTATATAATACTAGAAATATCCGCGACTTCGCTCGCGCTAAAACTACAAAATTTCTACAAAGGTAGTTTCATACAAATTTTCATCCTCTATTTTACCCTCTTATAGAAATTTCTAAAAATGCTAAAACACGTATTTATTTAATTTTATAGAAGAGCATTAATACCAAGTTTCAAGTACATGATTTTGATCATAAATATTTTTTTGAATTGTATTATAACGTGGTTACCCATGGACATTAGATGATCTCCCGCGGTAAAAAGTAGCCTATGTCACTCTCCAGCCCTCCAACTATCTCTACATAAAAAATGACGCCAATCCGTCACTCCGTTTCGACGTGAAAGAAGGACAAACAAACAAACAGACAAACAAAATAAACAAACAAACAAACAAACAAACAAACAAACAAACAAACAAACAAACAAACAAACAAACAAACAAACAAAAACACACTTTCACATTTATAATATTAGTATGGATTGTTATGTTTACAATATACCGTTATCGTCAAAAACTATTAGTTCTTCGAGAATAAAATGTCTCAGTCCTAAGAAGAACTTCCGGAACAAACTCAGCAAGATTATAGTATTTTTTTATATCATATTATAAAAAAACAAATTTACTAAAAAATAAGACTAGTGTAAAAATGTTAATGAGTAAAAGAAAAAAAAACTTACATCTTCCCTCAACGTAAATGCATCCGTTAGGATAAGGGTCGAATTCAGCGATACTCAAACCCACGAGGGCTAAGACACATACAATGACTAAAGATTTCATTTTTTATCAATTTTTGACTGTTCAGTATCAAAACTACTTGTTGTTTATCTCGCCCCAGAGAAGAAACGGACTTAAATAGCTTGACCGTTGTATCATTTATTTAATTTTATCTTTATACATAAATAAAATATAAGGAAATTTTGTCTGTTTGTACACAGTTGCTTGAATATATAAGCAAAATACAATTCATACGTGATAATAAAATTGCATGATAAGAAAACACAGATTTTTCTTTCATCTCAAACTTTCCATGCCTTTTTTGAGTTTTATTTTTTGTGATTATTTACGTTTAAAAAAAAATTGATATATCATAATCTAGCGTTCGAATTTGAGAATTGAGAACTTTCACGATATAACTGAATTCAGACTAGATGAGCCCTATTGAGTCCTATTTGGAGCTTTACGAGCAGTGGAACTGTAAGTTGCTGATGCGCTCTCAGGTCTTCTTTGCATGGAATGCTGGCATTATTGGTGTAGAATGCCAGCTCTCGATTGCCTCTCAGTTCGGAAGCTAATTATTTTTCCTTTTAGTTTTTTTATTTCAAACTGTATGAACTTAAAACTCTATGATCTGTCATCCACAGTGTTACTAATAATAATAATAAAAAAAAAATATTGCACACAAAAAGAAGACAATAACAATACAATAACAGAAAAGTGTGCAAGAGGCGGCCTTACCGCTAAGACAGCGATTTCTTCCAGGGAACCTTTTGGTGTAGGAAATAGCAAAGTGTGAAATGGAAGGGGTGTGAACACATATAATATTATATATATGTATACGTGTATATAAAAAAACATTAGGTAGGTATATGTGAATAATATAAACATGTTTTTTTATAAAATAATATCATTAGATGGCAATAGATATGTAAATATAATAACCAAACGTAATAGGCAAGAAATATTTTAATACTAACAAGGACGGTAGCTATTTAAACATACACATACTAAAAGGACAATAATATCGTAACAGACAAAAGGAATTAAAGTGTATTTAAGTGTTCTTTTAGATGTTTCTTAAAAATCGTTAGAGTTTTTGCATCCTAACATCTCGGTGAAGAGAGTTCCAAAGGCGAGCAACCATAATATTAAAAGAGTTGCTATAAAAGTAAGAGGAGTAAGAAGGGATTTTTAGGATTATTGTTTGATCAGAACGCAGATGGCGAGAATAAGAATCACCAAGGAATTCAAAACGCTCTTTAAGGTAATGTGGAGTGGACGGATCGAACAGAATACAGTAAAGCAGATGGAGAATATGAGTATTTCTGCGAAGACGGATAAGGAGACACTTGTGCTTTTTACGAATTTCAGAGACATGGTCATATTCACGCAAACCAAATATAAACTGAAAACAAAAAATTTGGAGTCGCTTAAGCTTAGTTAATTGCTCCTCTTTAATGTCAAGATAATAGATATCAGCATCAGCAGTCAAGAATCGGTAACAGGAGTGATTGTGCTAACGCGATTTTGGTGGAAATAGGGAGAAAGTTACGTAAACGACGAAGGGATGTACCGAAGCAAACATATTCCTGCTCAATTCACTTAGCTGTGGAACCCATGATAAGTTCTGATCCATAATAATACCAATATTTTTACCAGTTTTGCTGTATGGTATGCTCATGCCATTTAACACTACAGGTAGAAGAACGAGAAAGTTAATTTTGGATATGACTTTGGGATGTGTTCTACTTGTAAAGCCCTTTCATTTTATACCCATACAGAGGGGGTTGTAATAAAAAATGTAATTGGCCATTTTGTTTTAGGCCATATTGTAGATTTTGATTTTTTTTCCATTGTGTACTGTATTCTACTAGTCACGTCCTATCATTTGATACCCATATTGAGGGGGTCGTGAAAAAATATCTCATTTCTGAGAAAAAATAAAAAAACTGCAATTTAATAGTATACTAATATGTAAAACCTAAGAATTTGGTTTTTGGTCATCTGAACGCGGGCGGAGCCGCGGGCAATGCCAGTATTATATAAAGCGAAAGAGTTTTTTTGTAGATTGAACGCGGGCATAGCCGCGGGTTCTGCTGGTATCTAATTAAATACTATTTCTTAATGACTTATTTATTTAAAAACATACACTCATTTATTGTTATCTTCATATATAAGTACTTTTTAACCGACTTTCAAAAACAAAACAAAGCAAATCAATCTACTTAAATATGTATAATAATAATAATGTCCTACCGACCGATTTCAGCCACGGCGGTCAATCTCATTGAGACTAGCCAACTGCGCAGGAGATATTATAGTGCACAAGAGTACGCGCAGACACAAGTACACTCTATATTATTGTCACTCTCATACTCCGGTGGGACGACTACTCGACACGACCGGTGAGAAATCAGGTACAGAACCGACAGCTTTACGTGCTCTCCGAGGCACGGGGGTGAAACACCGTCAACTTCCCAGCTCCAGGCTGTTACTGGGATTTCCTTTAAGAGAAAGACTCAATAACTAAAATCCCGACTTTAAACTCGAACCGAGGACCTCCGGATGTGCAGTGCCACTAAACTACCGAGACAGTTAAATATGTATAAATACATCACCTTGTGTATAATATTTTAACTATAATTAAAGTTCATATCTCGTCGTATTTACCTATTAGATATTAATATTTTAAAACATTGCCGACTGGCGCCGACTTCGAAAATATCTAATTAGTTATCTATAGAAAATGATAACCCTGTTCAGTTATTTTTTACTCTTTAGTGTTCAGAAGCCGGTTTTTATTTCATTTCTTTAAGTTTTTATTAATTACAAATACTAGAACGATAATGGTATTATACATTTTACTGCATGTTGGCTAAAACTCCGGTATATACTTGTAAACCAAAAAAATCCACGTTTCAAAAAGAATTTACACATATTTTCAATTTTATTTTTATGGAATTTATTATGAAGTAATAAGTTACATAATTAACAAAGATTTAGAAAAATCGTTTATTACCAATCGATTAAAGTGATACGTTAAAACATAAATGTTTACACGAGAACATCTCTATTTACTAAAAAGTTTCACTAACTTCAAAATTACTTAAGAATTTCAACCGGATTCACCGTGGAGTAAAAAAAAATCATTCATTTTTTCATTATGTGTCTGTCTGTTACTTTCTCACGCTTATTCCGCTGAACCGATTTAGATGAAATTTGGTACTTGGAAATAGTTTGAGACCTTGGATAGGGCAGGATAGTTTTATCCTGGAAATCATCCCTCAAGGGAATGAAAAGGGACGTGGATTTTTTTAAAGTACTTGTCTACTTTTCTATATATATATATATATACACGTACATATTATATTACATATTATATACTCGTATATGTACACATTATATCGTCTACTATGACCAAAAACCAGATTCTTAGGTTTTACATATTAGTATACTCTTACTTACATTGTAGTTTTTGTATTTTTTCTCAGAAATGAGACATTTTCACTCTGTAAAAAGTATCCCATATGTTGACCCGGATAAGCAGCTATCACCGTACCAAATTTCATCAAAACTCCTTCAGTGGTTTTTCTGTGATGCGGTAACGGACAGACCGACAGACAGACAAAAATTCTAAAAACGATAGATTCGACTTCTGTATCGATAATAATATTTATTTAAATAATATTTTCCATAAAATATTTAATGTACAGATTCGGCTTAGTTACAATTTTATTATATGTATAGATTTCATACTAACCATTATAACGTACCTAGACACGAACCCGATCGAAGCGAAGGTGAGTCGCTAGTTTTTTATATGTAGAAGTAGTGGGCAATATATCAATATGTTATAGAAAAATAGCAATATGTGAATCATATTTCTACGTTGTATTTACATGCATTAATTCTAAAGGAAACTAAACATAGTATATAATCATTAATTATTGCCAGATCGTGCTCAGATCTCAGATTATACGGAGTTAATCAATGAGTATTATATTAGAACTGGTTTGTACATTGTTTATCCTTATTATCCTTTTGATAGTGAAGGATTATGTACAAAATGTTATTAAATTAGTTTAAACTATATACATAGTTATGATGAGTTTTATATCTCAACATGAGAAATAATTGGTTCCCCATACAAACTTCTAGCCCTATTTTCACCCCCTTAAAGAATGTTATCCGGAATAAAAAAAGCCTTGTACCTTTCCAAGGTCGCAAATTATCTCCATACCAATTTTCATCTAAATCTATTTAGCCGTTTAGTCGTGAAAAGGTAACAAACAAACAAACAAACAAACAAACAGTGTTACTTTCACATTTATAATATTAGTATAGATGTAACAAAAACAATTCTTAAAGTAATATTATAATCAACAATTTGATCTATTTTTTAGAATTTTACAACTTACGATACATCTTATAATATTAAATGAGCATTTTTTTGTATATATTGTGTACAGATGTATGTAAATGTATTTCATGTATCCCGAAAACGGCTCTAATGATGTGGATAAAACTTTCTATTTAGACAAGGTTATTTATATAGCTGTCATTCCCGAAAAAACACAATTTTCATATCTTTTCCGAAGAGCGACGAGCAAGGTTCGGTCGCCGAGGTAGTTTTAATTAAACTTACGAGTAAAATGTCATCACTGAAAAATTATAAGAAGAAGGAGAATGTAAAATAGAGCAATAAAAATTGTAGTTCTCAATCGATAGTAGTATCCTAATCAAATATCTTTGGACGTCCTGAGTCTGTTCTGAGACGTCAGATCTCATGTAATGTGAAGAAAGAAATAGGTATGATCATATAACATAATTACTTTTTACAAGCTTTTATTTAAACTTGCAATGTTTGTATGTATGTTTGTCCGGGTCAAATCTTGCAACGAAATTTTAAAGCAGATATCTTCAACCGATTGAGCTGAAATTTTGTATACGAGTCAAGCCACCCAGAATATAGAACTTGATAAAAATATAAACTTTAAGTATATTAAAGACAATAAGCAATTAGATCGCATTCCAGTTACCACACCATGGACTTACAAGAA